GCATTGACAGTACTCTGTCGGTGACGTAATCATCTACGCGACATGATGAGGGACGCATAAATCGCACGACACAACAAATAGATAATGAAATTCGTTGCCAACGCTTTTAATAATAGATTTTTATTGAATTTATCGATTCGTTTTTGCAGCCCAGCCCTACACACAACATCAAGATGCAATGCAGAACGAAATTAGCTGTTTAGAACATCCGTTCGGAGAAGCACACACACATGACAAACATGGGGGAACGAATGTCCAGGGTCTTTTGCAACTTAGTGCGCTACCTTTGCAGTTTAGAATACATACACAATAGGAAGGGTGAGTTAAAAAGAGCTTTGATCCTGTGTTTTATACAGAAAACACAAATATACGCTAAAAACTACTCTGCATACAGTGCAGTCAGCTAAGGAGGGGAGGGGGGTGGGGGGTCAAAAACACATAGAATAGGGAAGGGTTCAGCGGAGCCGGTGACATCCAAGGTAGAACTCCGTGTTGGAACCGATCAGAAGACCTCCAGAGTCCAAACAAGTTGTTATCAGTCAAAGCACAAGTCACAAGAGTTAAGTTCTGTCTCCACCCAACGCGGCCATCAGACCGATCTCAGCATGGGTGGAAAGGGTAGGGATGTGGGTGGGGGGTGGGGTGGGGGGAGAGTCAAGGCTTTCTTCATACGTGTCATTCCAGGGAGGTTTTATCAGCTTGCGACCAAGATCAGCAGCTGCAGGGATCCAATCAAAACATAATTGTTCAGGGCAAGCAGCAGGCTTTCACTGCTTTAAGTCTTAACTGCGCCTCTGTGTTGTGAAAAATGCCAATATTCCAGATTCAATTACCTCCTCTCCTCTCACCGTATGAAACGTCACCCAGGTGTAGCCTCACTCCTCACGGGCACGCTGCTGAACTGTGATCCTCGTCAGAACCACATACAGTTTGCGACTTATATCCCCAGCATTTGAGTCTGTGCATTTGCAGTAYGGGAGATCCCATCCACGGTCCCTGACAGCTTTTCACAGGCCCGGACTGCTGTCAGGATCGTTTTCATTTTCCGATAAACCAGGACTCYTCCACAGCCAATCAGCAGGAATCCGATTATCATAAATTTGATTATAAACACATCTTCAACATCCTCTATGGAAAGCGGGGCCAGGCAGACGAGGTTCCACCCCTAGGACCCAGAAACTCTGCCTGTCGCGACAGTTCCACTGGGACAGCTGTGCTCCCCTCGCTCCAATCTCAGTGTGGAAAAAATATTGTTGATTGCATTCAGAGACCAGTTGACCAAATCCATAATGCAAATGATGCATGTGGGTGTGGTGCAGTGGTAGGACAGTCAACGYGGGACCAGAAAGTCACAGGTCTGACTCCTCAACATGCCCATATGTCGTGGTGTCTTTCAGCAAACACCTAATCACTAACAGCTCCTCGGGCRCTCATAGCTGCCCACTGCTCCACCTGGTTGTATCTAATGTGTGATGGGTCAAATGCAGATCACAGGTTTCATCATTGTATGTGAACATGCATTGATGTCAATACGTCACATTATTCTATCAATTTTAGTGCCCATTTTCGTAAAGCTAGCTTATTTGACAGCATTTTATTACATGCCAAAATGTACCCACACTATTGTATTTTATGATTTTTCTCGTGAGGTAATTAAAAAAGGCATTATAAATAAAACATATTTATATATATACATATGATTAAACTGAACAGAATTACACAATGTATAGATAAAGTGTAATTATTGAACAAAAACTTTTCACTGTGCACTTATTTTGTTTTTGTACCTAATATGAATTTTTAAAAAGCACAAAACTTAACAATATATTAAACCTAAAATAACAAATGTGAAATAATAGGTGTAAGCCCAATATGTGTGTGTGTGTGTGTGTGTGTGTGTGTGTGCGTGCGCGCGTGTGTGTGTGTATGTGTATGTGTATGTGTATATCTTCATGCATGACTTTTATTTTTTTTATATCCACGTCTATAAAATGATAGAAATTACTATTTAAATTTTAATACACATTTACTTTTCTTTGGGAAAAAAAGGTTAAAAACCGAGAATTTTCTAAACTGGCATTAAATAGCCCATGTYACCAGGTTCACATTGTTTTGCTGAAGAATAAAACATCTTTAAATATAACCTTTAAGGGCAGGTGAGTTATTTTAGGTGTGACCCTGACAAAAACAATGGTGCACAAAAATAATGAGCCAGCATCAGATTTCATCCTAAAAACATAAACTACCTCTGCTTTCTAGTCTAAAACACTAAGTCTATATATTTTTTTAAATATTGCGTTCCTCACTTGAGGTAAAAAATAAAAATAAAAAAACTCTGCCCCGCCATCGAGCCCTTACCCAGGGTACCCGTGCAGAGGCAGTTGTGAGTCCGGGGAGGTGGCTTAGTTTGGTGGCTGTCCAGAATCTGTTGCACTAGCTGCTCCACTGAGAAGCCTGAGCTGCTGTTCCCATTGCTGCAAGTCCACTTGATGCCATGAACTGCCAGGAGAGAGGAGGAGACAGAGATGTCAGCCAGCTCAACAGAGCACCAGCCACACCAGCCTCCCAGCCCACCCACTGCCCTCTCTGTCTGCCGGCCGGAACGCCTCGTCCCGCTCACTGGACGCTTCTCTAAAAGCATCCGAAAGTAAAGCAGGAAATAAATGGATTTCTGATTTTCTGYGAAGAAAATGAACAACTTATCAGGGTTTGGTTAAAAAAAGAATAACACAGGGATTTGAGAGGTATCACTTTCAGTTTTATAGTAAACTCAATCTTTTGCCTGTGTTTTGTTTTCCCTCATATCCCCTTAYTATAACATTACACCCTGTGCTGAAYCGCTTAGCTCCTTTGTGCTTYTTGCCCTGCCCTGTCTCTGTGTTTGTCCTGTAAGAAGTGCTGATGCGACCTCTACACCACCTTTACCCTGACTTTTGATACTGTTCTGACAAGCCTCCGTGGAAGAAAACCCACAGAGCGACTGCTGCTGCACCACGAGAGAAAAGGAGGCTTCCTCCGGCAGAGTTCCCCTCCCTCCCTCAGTCACACCTCACTAGCACCTGCTAATACTTTTCATTGCTCCACTTGTCAAGTTGCCATGCTTTCTGATGAGACAGATAGTGCTTTTAGTGGCTATAAAAGGTGGTAGAAGAGACGGACCACTGAGTGCTACAGTGCTCAGCCTCTCAACCAGTGCGAAAAGGTAATATTTCAGAGGAGAATCATATTTAAACCAYCAAACAAGTGCTTCTTATGTCTGTGCATGTGTGCATATGTATGGCTATGTACAAAATGGTGCTGTGATTACACAAAAAACGGAGAGAATTTGGTTAGAGCAAGTCTGTTTGTACTTAAAGGTGTGGGTAAGAGGTTGAGGGTACTACAGATAAAATTTAGAGCCAGTTAAATTGAATTATGATGCGGAGTCCCACTTAAAAACTTTAAAATCTTCTGGCAGAGTACAGGCTTATTACCAGCAGGTGGCAGCAGAGTTACTGTCATAAGATTAAGAACATTTCCCCCAAACAACTAACAGCGTAAAGAAATGTTTAAAAAGTTTGGTTCACTCAGATGTTTATGCACCGTGAGTGAGCTGAAAGAAAAAAAAGATGGACAACAGAGACGACAGAAGACTTTTACCTAATGTGAATTTAATTACTGCACAAATAATTGTTTGCGTCTAGAGATTCCACTAAATAACACAGCTTCACTCATCATTAACCTTTTGACAGATGCAAAGCAAATGGCAGAAATGAGTTGATGCACACATTCCTAATAAAGAGATAATGAGGACTTTGGCATATTAAAAAAATCCTTAGTTTTGGTGATGCACAAGAGAATAAAGCCTGAAGAACACGCACGAGCATCTTTTCTGCTGAGCCGATTCCAGAGAAGGTAACGGAACACAAGTGAGCGCCTTATGCATCAACGTACATCCACCAAGCAGGGCTGTATCCATTATTCCAAACAATCCAGCCTCCTCTCATCTCTAATCCCTCATGCCAGATTGCCACAGCCTTCCTCATCTAGACAAGTGTCACCCCTGGAGGCTCTGGGATGTTGATGAACAGTTACCACAGTGTCTGCGTGTCTGTTCTTCTCATTGAGCATTAGATTCCAAAGCAGACATGACAGGAGAAGTGCCACTGGGTTTAATCCCAGGCAGGAAGAGCAGAGGCAACAAACAACAAACCACGTCATGTGATCCTTCTTATGGCTGCCTGCTGCCACGAACAGCAGCACCAAGCCTTAATGACAAACACAACAGATCCACGAGGCCAGTTTGCTACATTATRGGACAGAAGATGATCATGTCTATCTTCTGTCAAGACCTGCCTTCTGTCTGTCCATTAAAGCTGCTAATGCATTATCTTCCAGTGGGCAGGGGAGTTCTGGATGCTTGCAGAATTAGCCTAAAGCAAGGTGTTGGCACCGCCTATCAAACTGCAGCATGACCCCTCTGCCCCGCCTCCTTACTTTCTTTCCCCCTCTCATCAAACACCATAGGGTTTAACAGGATGACGAAGTCAGACGGGGCTTGAACTCAAATGACTGCGTGTGAGCAGCTTTTGGATGTGGAAAATGTTYGAGGCTCGAAGTGTGATTTGTTTGCAGGGACAGAACAAGCTTTATTCATTCAGAAATTCAAATTGTGTTGAATGGTTAGTGCTGGGAAAGACTGTGAAGAGACTCACGACAGCAAACAAGAATTCAAAACATCTATTATTTGGCAAAACCTAATATAAAGAYGCACTACCAAGTCAGTATAAGCATCTTGCACTTTGTATTCAAAACACATACTACAAAGTTAAACACAGTCTTGAAACGAAAAGAAKGAAATTCTGTCTCGCCTTTTTATCTAAAACACCTTCTCAAAAATGTAGGAAGTTCTTAAACATAGAAGAAAAAATACATAACATACTATAAATGAAAAAAATGAGAGAATTTTAGTTCAGTCTGGTAAAAAAGGTGCCTCTTTGGTAAAAGCTAACGTATGATTTAGGATTAAGTAATGCATGGTTGATCTACCATGACTTCACAGAAGTGTCTGCCTCCTTCATGAGGCTATGGGTTGAAATCCCACCACTAGATGGCAATGTTGCTCCATCGATAAAGCCATGTTGACATGCTGGGATGAAGGGGAAGGAAAAGAAGAAAGACAGAAAGCAAAGACAGAAAGCAGGAAAAGGGAATTCTTGCTCTTTATGTAGMCTCCCTTATGTAGCCTGGCAGCTAGGAGGCATCTCCCTCTCTTTGTCCCAACAACTGCTAAAGTTAATGACTTAACGCATTATTGCAAATGGTGCTTGAGTTTTACATTAAGCCACAGACATAATAAATACAGTWGGTCTTTGATGCTCTGACGCTGTCCTGAGGTAAGACTTTATGGTAAAATGTCTTCAAACTAATGCGGTGTTGAGGGGAACAGTACAATCCAGATTTAAGCAATGATAGTTTGCACTGCCTACTCAGTATGCAGCCAGCATGTGAATGGGCTTATAAAGCTGCTGACACCTTCCTCTTCACCTGGCCACATCACCAATAATTGGCCATTGGAATATCAGTCACAGCTCTGGTGGCCCCTGCCAGACACGCCCAAGTCACTGTCTAGTTGTTAAAGGCAATTTTAGGAGCCCTTTGACACTCTTTTTAATGCTCCACAAGATCCCTGTTTGGATATTATYATCATCATCAGACAAAACCCTTGCTTTTTCCAAAACATTACCTCAGTCTTTACCCAGATGTATAGCCATAAAAACACACAGTGCAACTCAGTGATCTTTGGTATGGTTAATAACAACAGGGAACAATTCATTCAGGAGGAAGGGAGGGAGATAGAGACAGAGAAAGGGTGGCAAGGGACTCCTGGTGAGTCTAATATTCTTGCTCACATGCACTAACATGAATCAATATCCAGCTTGTTGGCCTCCTTTCTGTCTTGACTGCTTCTACAGTCCAGGCTGAGGGGAGCTGCGCGCTCAGTTTGTTGCCAGAGGTCAAGGGGAAATGCTGAACTTTGACCCAGGTGTAGCAGACAGCTCCAGGAAGAGGACTCTCATATATTGTAGGTATACTGGCAAAGAAAAAAAAAACACTTTCTGCACTGAGCTGCTAAGGGCACTTAGTGTTCTAGAAATTAGCTCATAGGAGTGAACATTAAATCCCCAGACACCTGCCAAAACACATAGAGATGTCTAGCATGTCCGCATAAAGATAATCAGATCTTAATGAGCATTAATAGAAAATATTCCCATCAAAGTCTAATGTAAATGACTGGACTGACAGTATTTTTTGTTTGTTTGTTTGTTTTGATACTCACACATGGGTTTGAGCTGGCCWATCAGCTCCTCCTTGGTCCACTTGGCCCATTCCTTCTTGTCTGTATTGATGGAACATAAGATAGGTCCACATGGTTTCCCACAATCCTCAATGGCTGGAACATTCAAATAGTGGACGAGCACAATATCAGGGTTCTGTCAGAAAACAACAACAACAACAAAAAAGTGCAGGGTAAGTTATACCAGATGCTCAAATGGTTAGTCTTCTGCATGGCTTCTGTGAGAAAAGCCAGCAAAAGGTTGTTGTAGCACACAGAGATAATGCTGCACAGATCTGAGCACTTTAATGTGGAAAAAGCAAGCTGTGTTGCTAAACTTGAAACGCTGCATGAAAACCCTCGCACAGACAATAGAGGCTAAGAACAGGAGAGGGAACGCACAAGCCTAAACCCAAGCAGCAGAACAAATCGGGGATCAGAAATCTGCAATAATCTCACTCATTATGTGACTGTCTGTATCTCAAAATACATGTGTGATTGGATGTGTCTGCTACGTGTGCGCACACACGTCTGTGTGTGTGTTCATTACAATGTGTGCTCATGTAACACACTTATGGCATTTTGTCAAATCCTCCCACATAGTGATATGATGCCCTCAATTAACTCCGCCTGTATTTACCAAGTCAAAACTCAACAATTTAGTGCCTGCAAAATTGTTACAGGGTTACCTTAGCGAATTTTCTAAATTGACAGCTTATGAATAATAGGCGGTGTTTAAAGAAATGTGGTGCAGGTGTGAATAATATCAATTCGATTTGATTACCAAGCACTCACAAAAGAAATTTCCCTCATATAAGCCAATAAATGGAAACCATTCATCCGCTATACCCACTTCTTCCATTCAGGGTCACGGGAGTYACTGGTACCCATATCCAGCAGTCACCGTGCGAGGGGCAGGATCCACTTTGGACAGGTCACAAGTCCATCACAGGGCCACATAGAGACAAACTGAGACAAACAACCACTCACTCTCTCACTCACACCTAGGGACAATTAGTTACCAATAAATGAGTTCATTGTTATTGTTTAGGCCACCCGTGCATGTGCTCTGGAATCCTGTAGATCTTTAATTTGCTCCAAGGGGAGTTCCTGTTTGCACCATTAACTGCACAACAACTGACAGGCATTTTGTTGTTTTATACAATTTTGGCACAACTCAACATAGAGTATATCGTCGCTGGCAAGTTGTTTAGCCTCTCAAAACATGATGTTTGATAACCAGAAGTATGTCATTGCGATTTGGCGTATTAACCTATCATGCATGTTTTTGGGCTGTGGGAGAAAACTGGAGCGCACGGACCGAACACACAAACTCTACCCAGAAAGGTCCCTGGCTGGGTTTCGATCTAGCAACCTTCTTGCTGAAAGGAAACAGCACTACCAAATGAGCCACTGTGCCTCCTCAAACGGAAACCACTTTGAGGAAAAAAAAAAAAGACCCATGTGTCGGTAAGTATACACAGAAAGTAGACCAACATGCTTTTGTTGTTGATCTTCTTTGGAAAATTTTATTTTCCAAAACTTTCTTTATATTTAGCGAAAACATAAACACAAACATTGAAAAAGGGATATTCTGTTTTTTTTTTTAACTCACATAAAACCACACCCACTCGTGTGTGTACGCTCTCATCTAAACAAAATGCAAGAATAGACAAACCAGCTTCGACTTTGATCGAGAAAAATGCTGTGATGAGTGTGTGTGTGACTGCAGTTTGAAGCTTCATCAGTGCTAAGTGGCAAATAAATCAAGGTGCAGCTACTGTGGGTCTGTGCTCCCTCTCAGTGTGAATCATTAATCCGAGAAACAGCCCCTCCCCACCTTTGCTTCCCTGTTCCACCAGACAGGGGCGTGGCTGTCACATGCAGATACAAAAACACTTCAGCTGAAAACATCTTAAATATAATATAAACAAGTGGCCCGTTTCTGGGATGTGCCTGGGCTGTTTGTGTCTCAGTAAGTCGTGTAAAAGTGGTGCAGGAAGACAGATGACCTTTCCCACAGCTACCACAGGCTGGAGCTGGACATCGACATGCTTTGTGTCACCGCTTTCCTTGTCCCCTGTCATTGGTAGGGACACTAGGTGATGGCTGCAGCCTTGATTGGATGGAGATGGCACAGGAGGTGTGCGATGCCCCCAGATGGCACCACCAGCTGTGTCGATAGCCAAGAGACGCCCTCAATCTTTACTTAGTCAGAGAGCGCAGAACGTAGAGGGCTGCATTCATTTATGAGCAGACAGAAATTTATGTTGATGCGTAAAAGTGCGGGCGGGAGGGGAGTGCGCACCAACAGAATGGAACATGCTTAAAGCGTGTGAAATCACACAAGCACCAATTTGTTTGAGGAGAAGCTCATTAGCATAGTGGAACTCGTATGCTCACAATACACACACGGATTAGTTGAGAACAATCATTCTTTGGGCTACACACAGTTTCTGCCATTCAACACCTACATTTCCAGCTGTTTCCTACCTTTTCACACAGACACACATGYTGATTTTTATATCCTCATGGGGACTTCCTTACCCTCAGCCAAACCACCCTAGAACACACCTAACCTAAACTCAGTTCACACCTTGATCCTAAACCTACCCCCCACCCCCAATCCAAAAATGGCAACCGTACCCGTAAAGACCAGGCTTAGGTCCCCACAAGGCTGTTTGTTCTTGAAAATTGACCCCATGATGTGGCAAATATGCATTCACACACACACGCACACACACACACGCACGCACGCACGCACACACACACACACACACACACACACAC